GTCACCCACCCTGGAAATACGATCGAGAGCGATTCAGCCGATGTCCACGGTAGAAGAAGCGGGTCATAGGAGTGGAGGGGGAGGAAACACTAGACGGGAAAGCGAGCGTCACGCACACAAAATGTGACTGCTTAGCAGTGACAGACGACACACGTTAGGACTTTTAGAGGAGTTTTGGTACTTTGGCCTGTTTTAGGTCCGTTAATTTTCTGCTGTGCATGGAGGATACACATATACAATACGGACAGTAGAAACATGGCATTGGGCCGGGCTCGGTGGCTCAGCCTGTAATTCCACGCCTTGGGAGGCTGAGGTGAGTGGATTGCCTGAGCCCGCAGGTTCGAGACCCGCCTGGGCAACCTGGCAAGACCGCATCTCTACAATAATTCAAAAAATTAGCCGGGCGTGGTAGCGCGCGCCTGTAGTTCCAGCTACTTGGAAGGCTGAGGCGGAAGGATCGCCGGAGCCCAGCAGGTCGAGGCTGCGGTGGCCTGGAGCGGCCACTTCACTCCAGTTTGAGCGACAGAGTGAGACTCCGACTCAAAAAAAAAAAAAAGAAATGTGGCATTGAGTGTACATTTCATTTGACCCCCCCCTTTCCTGATATTGCTTGAAGCGACTTCAATTGAGGTCATGTTATTGAACTTCCAGTAAACACTCAAGGGGACCGGGCTTTCCGAGATCATAACTCTGACATGGCTAGTATGTTGATTTGTACACACTTATTATGTGGATTTACTGGCAAAAACTGGCTGGATGTTTTCTGCCTTGTGTATTTTTTCCTCCCAGTTTTATGGCGTCGCTGTTGTGGCGTTAATTATTATTCCTCTTCCTATAGACAAGCAGATTGTGCAGGAAGGTGTGCAGTTAGGTGATAGAGCCCGAATCAAAATACCTGCCCTTGGACTGTCAGATTGAGTTTGTATTTGTATAACTTTTTAACAACATGCATGTGAGTTGTAACTTGCATGTTTTCTATATGTGTGTGTCTTTTATATACCGAGGGCGCCAGAAAAAGTGTACACATTTTAAGCGATGTTACCTGTGTGCTGCTTTTAGCTCATCATCATCAGAAGTGTCTGGACGTTGATGGGAACCACTGTGAGCACCTCTTGTAATTGCAGAAGTCAAATGTGACTTGTATTCATCTGTTATTATGGGTATATTGAGAAGTACAATTTTAATACAGTCACTTCCTTTCTTAAAATGTGTCTACATTTTTTTGGCTCATCTGTGTATGAAAATGAGATTCATCGAAGGTGGGTGAGATTCTGGCAGTTGTGGCTGTCTTCAGACTCCCTCACCTCATAAAAGGCCCAAGTGCCATGATTCTCACCTTTTTTTTTAAAGCTCATTCATGGGAATTTGATGCAAGCTGGAAAATAAATGTGTACACACAGTTTTGCATATATCTGCGAGGATTCTGTTGGCTTTCCTAAAGTCTACCTATTGACTCTATTTAAAAAGTCTGTTACCCTGCTTTTAAAGTTGTATGAGGCCAGGCTCAGTGGCTCAGCCTGTAATTGCAGCACTTTGGGAGGCCGAGGCAAGTGGATTGTCTGAGCCTGAGGGTTCAAGACCAGCCTGGGCTACTTGGTGAGACTTTGTCTCTACAGTAAACCAAAAATTAGCCAGGCGTGGTAGTGTGCTCCTGTAGTTCCGGCTACTTGGAAGGCTGAGGTGGACGGATCGCTGGAGCCTAGTGGGTCGATGCTGGGATGGCCGTGAGTGTGCGGCTGCACTCCAGCCTGGGTGACTCCAACACAAAAAAATAAAAAATACAAATAAAGTTGTATGAGCCGGGCTTATATGTGAACAGAGCTGCTCCCCTGCGTAGGGCTGTGTGTATAAGGCCGTCTCTGTCCTGGCTGGGCTCTGGGGATGTTGTCCTTATTGTGCTAAGTGATTCACTCGTAACAAGAACCCCACTGGCATGGGTGGGTCTGAGGACGAGGCCTTGAGATTGAACCCACAACCTGGGACACTGTGAAACATGTGCAGGCACCAGAAGGGTCTCAGGCCATCTCCTCATTCCTGAGTAAACTTCTGAAAGTGGCAGGCTTAACTTGAATGTCTCCTAGATTATTTACACGTAGAGTACATGTGAGTTCCAGAATTTAAATTTTATCTTTCCACATATCTTAGTTTTTTGGTATCAGCATGTGTGATATCAGTGTGCTTACAATATGACTTCACCATGATCAGGTTGACTGTTCTCTGTATAAATATTTTCATTTTTTGTAGTGATCTGCCTCCCAAAGTACTGGGATTACAGGCGTGAGCCACCACATCCAGCAATTTTCTTTAAAAGTTAAGAAAAAAACTTTTGTGTTGCTATTTAAAACGTTCCCATGCTCTTGAACTACTTTGCTAGTTGTTAAAGTATTGTAGTTGGTCCGGGGGAGTCAGTCGTAAGCAGGGTAACCAGCTGGTACCGTTTGCCCAGGGATGAGGGTTTCCAGGATGTGGGACTTTGTTTTAAAAGCTAAACTAAAGGTTTCCAGAGAAGCTAGACTTTCAGTGCCAAAACCCGGAACGTCCTGGGTAAATTGGGACAAGTTGGTCACCTGAGTCACAAGGGTCATTTTTTGAATCATACACCGAGCAATGAACAATGATTCATTGAGCAGTGTGAAATGATTCATTTATTAAGAGTATATGTTACAAATACCGTGATAGATGATGTTTGTCATTAATTGCAGTAATGTAGTTTTTATCACGAACCACAGTAATATATTTAGAATTCTAAAACATTTATTAAAGCATCCTGGGCTTACAATAGGAAATTTAAGCTGCCAGCCCTCCCTGAGCTTTTTCTGTTTGTAGGAATCGCTGTTTTAAGTCTGCCCTGTCTCTTCCACTCTCCTTTTCTTGCCTCTGGCCCTTTGCTGGGCCCAGAATTGCCCTAGATGACACCCACGATGCGGACTGTAATGAGCAGCATCTTGGATCTTGATGAACAGACACATGTGTGTGCTGTCCACACCGCTTGGTCCTTTTTGCCTCTGTGGCAGGTGCTTTGGGTGTTATTTTCTGTGGGTTTCCTCTGGACCCCAACCGAGGGCAGCAGCTACTTATCATTGGTCCCTGGCCTTCATAATTCATAATGTGGTGCTTACTATAACATCGAACGTCAGCCTCCCCAAGAGTCCTCGATTTTCTTTTTCCTTCTGGGATCCCAGAAGTCTGTTTTCTTGCACCAGAGGATGCACAGGTGTGCCTTCCATTTTGTGGTTTGGCCTAAAGATAAGTTTCGAAGGAAAAGGCAGCTCCAAACAGACACAACATTCTGATTTTCCAGGAACAGCAATAGTGCCTCACAGCTGGGTATGGCTTTGCCTATATTTGTGGGAAAGGAGGACTTTTTAGATCCGGCTGATGTATTTGCTGGAGAGCTGCACGCTCTGAAGTAAATCTGAGTCCTCCCGGAGGGAGTGGGGCTGGCGCGTGGGTGAGCCAGGCCTGTGGCCCCACTCGCGAATGACGTAGGAGCCACGGGCACTCAGCCGATCCTGGAGAGCAGAGCACAGGCGAGGTAAAAACCCTCGACTCAGTGGGTGCGAGGCCCGGGGTGCTGGGGGTGTCGGCGCCTCCGGCCTCCGCCTCACCCGCCCGCGCGTGTCGTGTCCTCGCAGGGGGCCAGTCCTTCTTCAGCAGGAAGGACTCCATCCGCACCATCTACACGTCCCTGCACAACGAGCTCAAGAAGCTGGCGGCGGGCCGCGGCGCCCCGGGCGGGGCTGCCCCGCAGGTGGAGGAGCTCCTGTCCCACCTGTCGGAGCAGCTGTGCTTCTTCGTGCAGGCGCGCATGGAGATCGCCGACTTCTACGAGAAGATGTACAGCCTCAGCACGCAGAAGTTCGTCAACGCCGACGAGCTCGTGGGCCTCCTGGACGCCATCCTCCGGAAGTACAGCGCCAGGTCAGTGGGGGCGAGGGGCGAGCGTGGACCGCCGGGCCCCGCCCTCCCACCGCGCGGACCCCGCCCCGCAGCCTCAGAGTCCGAGAGTCCACAGGCTCGTGAGCGTCCACGAGGGGCAGCTATGCGGGAGAGGCCGCTGTGTGCCCCTGTCCCTTCAAGACGTTGGTAGGCCTCCGTTCATCGTCCGTTCATTCATGCGTTTCCTTGAGGCAGGGTCTCACTCTGCGGCCCAGGCTGGAGTGCAGCGGCCTCGGCTCCGGTGCTCCCCGCTGGGGGGACTTGATGGAGTGTGACTGCCTGGTGGAACTGTCCGGAAGCTGCCGGGCCCCCCGCCTCTTCCCCAAGAGGGTGAAACCCCCTAGCTCCGGGTGGTGAAAGCCTGTTTTCAGAGTCCCCGGTGATATCGATGCGGAGGCGAGCCCCACCCTGGGCGGTGAGAGGAAGAGGTGGACGCCCAGCTGCAGCGTGCGCCCTGTGTTTGTGCACGGGTGTGCTTGCCAGGTGTCCTGGGGGATGCCTGACTTAGCTGCTTTCCTTGTCTCTGGGGCCTGCCGCCTTTAAGCCTTCCTGTGGATCCCGGCTTCCCAGAGCCTCGGAATCTCCCCCGTCCTGCAGAGCCCCCTCTGGAAGGCTCAGGGCAGATGCTGGCTGCCCCGCACCCTGCGTGTGGTGGTGGTGGAGACCCTGGAGCCGGCCTGCGGCACCGCCCGACCATCGATGCCCTTTTGCAGCCTCCCTCTTCCCCATGATGCGGCTCTAGTCGGCTGGGAGTTGCTGATGCCGGATACAGCCTGGCCTGCAGAGGATCTCAGAGGCTTTGGGTTAAGCCTCTGGAACAACTTACGTTACTTCACTGAGAAATTCTGAGAGGTTGAAATTCCGTGGGGCAGATTGGTTTTCTTCTGAAGTGGGATCACTTTAGTGATCCACGAACATGGTTTTGCCCTTTGTGTGGAGACTTTGATTTGGCATCTCTGTGCTACTCCAAACATTTCTTTCATGGTTTCAGTGTTCTGGAGAAATAGTTCTTACTTTGGTGTTGTGTTGTGTTGTATTGAAAGAGTTAATCTTCTTCCCAGAGGACACATTTATCTTTTGAGGGGAGTTTATTTGCCCCGGTATAGCTGGTCTGTGTCAGAACCCTTACAGAAATGTTGTGAATAGTGATGTCTTTCAAACGGTGAAGTGCCTTTGGATTAAAGAATGGCGTGGGTCTACCCTGGCCTTGGTTCGAGGAGCAGATCCTGTGTGAGTTATTGCTGTGTCCAGAGATGGTGCAAAGCGCGTCGCTTTCTCCTCGAGAAGCTGACTGTGTACACAGTGGAGTGGTGCTCGAGGCGTCCTCTCCTGGTTAACTTACTGTCAGTACGTTAGTAGGCCAGTGTCACCGCTGGGTGAGGAGTCACAGTCATTTGTGATGCTGCATCTCAAATTGAGTCATTAACTAGTTAAACTATATTATTCAACATACAATTATTAATTATATAAGAGTTTAATTGCATGCCATTTAGAAAAAGAAACATGACTTTAGCATGTTCCAGGTCAGCATGCCTTCTGTCCCTTGAGTACTTTTGAGGAGAGGCTGAGCTGCTTGGGATTTGTTTTTGTTTCTTTAAGGAAGTATCATTGGGCCGTTTTCTTATTCTGTATAACTTACATTTATTTATAATTCACATTTATTTATTGTTTTTCTTTGTTATTATTATTTTTCTTTGAGCTGGAGTCTCTGTCGCCCAGGCTGGAGTGCAGTCGCATGCTCAGGGCCACCGCAGCCTTGACCTGCTGGGCTCAGGTGATCTTTCTGCCTCAGCCTTCCAAGTAGCTGGGACTACAGGCACATGCCACCACGCCCAGCTAATTTTTTTGATTTATTGTAGAGACGAGGTTTTGCCAAGATACACAGACTGGTCTCGAACCCATGGGCTCAGGCAATCCTCTCACCTTGGCCTCCCAAAGTGCTGGGATTATAGGCATGAGCCATCGCACCTGACCTATTTACTGTTTTGTACAGCTGGCATAAAGGAAAACTCTTGACTAATCTTTCTGTTACAGGGTTAAAACAAATCTGGAAGACGGATTAAAAATGCACATGAACATTTACCATCCTAAATCAAGAATACAATTTTAAGAAATAATACTCTTAAAGAAGGAAGTGATTATCACTTACACATTCTAGATGGTTAAAAAAAACCTCTGTGGTATGGGAATAACATACCATTCGGTGATTTTAATTCTGTAATGATAATTTTGTAGCTAGAATCTAAAGAACACTTTAAAAAAGCTGATCTGCGTACATTTCTGCTTGCATTTTAGGAAGCACAGTCTCTTGGTCTGGTTGCTTCATTGGCAACTTTCTCACCAAAAGCAGAACAGTCATTTGGTTAGGCATTCTGTTCCTTTTCCTTTATTGAAGGATTTGTGATGGTAGGACTGCCAGTGGTACCATTTGTCAGCGACATGTGTCATTTTGCACGGTTAACCGCTGCCCGCTGGAAATGTCATTAGCAAATCAGGAGCAGCGCGATTTCCTGGAAGGTGCTCTCTCCTAGGGCCTCGATCAGGCCCGTGAAGACCCAGGCAGGCCTCCATGTACCTGTCCCTGCTGCCTTTTCGGGCTCTTCTGCTGCCCCCACCAAGTGCCTTAAATTGCAACCAAATTCTTAGGAAAAAAGAAAGAAGCTTCAAGCAGAAATCATTGAGGATTTTAAGCAGAAGTCAGAAACCAACCCTTAGTCTCACTCACGTGTCCCCTGTAAGTTTTGGCGTTTCCTGCCGCTCTGCGTCGGCACCTGGTATTCCTTGCGTTGTCCCATCCTGTGTCTCGTGGTTGTTGCCATGGTGAGTCTGCGGTATAAACCTTCCCACCTTTACTCTGTGGGTTGGCCAGTCTCCTGGGGCTGACCTGAGTGGGACTCCCCGGGGAGCGCCATGCGACCCTGCTGGTGGCACTGGGCATGGTGCTTGCTGTGAGCTGTGGGTCAGGGTCTGCTCCCCGGGGGTCAGTTTGAGCCCAGGCCTGGGGGAAGCAGCTCCCCATGGCGATGTCCAGAGTGCCCGGGATGTGCCCAGCCAAGCTCACTGGGAGCCTTTGCTTGGGTCAGGCCTGCTGGCATCTCATCGCCCAAAGCGAGTCACCACCCGGTCCATGGCGGGGGGACAGCACACCCACCTGTGAGGGAGGGGCTGCAGATTGCAACACAGCGTGTGAGTCAGCTGGAGGAGCTGAGGCTGGGTGGTCCGGACCATCTCTGCCAGGCTGAGTCCTGCCCACTCCTGTCCCCCTTTCAAATTACGGGCAAAAAAACACACGTCCCGTCACATTTGCCTTAAGGTGTTTTTTTTTTTTTTTTTAATTTTCGTTTTTTAGTAGAGAATGGGGGCCTTTCTGTGTTGCCCAGACTGGTCTCAAACTCCTGGTCTCCAGAGAGTCTCCTGCCTCGAGTGCTGGGACTTAACAGGCGTGAGCCACCGCGCCCAGGTATCTTCAGCCGTTTTAAGTATTGTGAAGTATATTCACCATCTTGTACGGTGGATCCTTAAAACATTTTCATCTTGGACAACGGAGACTTTATACCCATTTTTCATTTTGTGAAACTGAGACCCTGTGTCCACTGAGCGATGTTTCTGCCTCTCCCGTGCCTGGCAGCCACCCTTCCACCTTCTGCTTCTGAGTTTGGCTGCCTTCCATGCTGCATCAGAGTGGAGTCGCACAGCCTCTGGCTTTCTGTGACCGCTTGTTTCCCTGAGCGCCATGTCCTTGGGCTCCTCCGTGTGAGCACGCGGCAGGATTTCCTCCCTTTCTGGCTGAGCAGTCACCACCGCCCGTGTGCACCGCGTTTTCTCTGCTCGGCAACCAGGGCATCTGCAGCGCCACCAGAGATGCCATCTCCTCGCAGCCTCCACAGGCCTCCACCGGAGGGGCGGCTCCCCCTCTAAGCTGTTTCTTCATCTGATCACACCTGACAAATGTGCTAGCTTCGCGTGATACCCATTGTGAGACCTTCCCCCAGCAGGGGCCGGCGGGGAACACCAGGATGTTTTGTATCCTTGACGTGTTGTGTTGTCCTCGGAGACCCAGCAATCCTGTTTCAAATGAAAAGATGTGTTCAGTTTCATTTACAGATTTTTTTTACTGTGACAAAACTCACACAACATAAAATGTGTCATTTAACACCTTCGGATTGTGGTGATACAGATACAGACTCCTGACACGCAGGGGCCAGCATACTCCTTTTGGAAGGAGCTTGGGGTGCGAACTTGCGAAGGAGGAAGGCATGTTTCTCAAGTGGATTTTGGTGCTTCACTCGAGTATCAGAGGGGCAGTTTTGTAGTTTCCTCTATTCTGTGGAGCCTCCCTACCTGTCTTCCTCCCCCATACTTCTTCCCTCCCTTCCTCCCTCCCTCGCTCCCTCCCTCCTCTCTCCCTCTCCCCCCACCCAGCTTCTTCCCTCCCCTTCTTCCTTCTTTAGAGCACGTTTTCTCTGCAAAATAGTTGTTAGTTCTGCCTTCAGACTCTCTGAGCTTCCTGCTGTGGTTCGGTTGCGCGTTCCTGGATTGCAGCCGTTCCCAGGCCCTCCTGGGATGGTGTCCTTGGTGACTGTGAGGCCTGCAGCCCAGTGGAGATCGGGGCGTGGCACACCATCAGGCTGGTCTCGCCCTGCTCCGGCAGGCCCACACTCACCTGCGTTTTCAGCTCTTCAGAATGAAAAGTAGCTCTGAGCTAGGCTCAGTGGCTCAACCTGTAATCCCGCGCTTTGGGAGGCTGAGGTGAGTGGATTGCCTGAGCCTGTGGGTTCGAGACCTGCCTGGGCAACTTGGTGAGACCTCATCTCTACAATAAATCAAAAATGAGTCAGGCATGGTAGCATGCGCCCGTAGTTCCAGCTACTTGGAAGGCTGAGGTGGAAGGATTGCCGGCGCCCAGCAGGTCGAGGCTGTGGTGGCCGGGAGCCTGCAACTGAAAAAAAAAAGAAAAGTAGCTCCGAGGTTCCGCATATCTG